AGGGGTAGTCCACCCCTAAATTTTTTTTTTAATTTTTAGACAAAATTTTTAATTTCTATTTTTTTATGATACAACATACAAAAATACATACAACCCTAAATTTTTACCCCTCTACGATCAACCCTTATTTTTTATTTGCTAATTATAAACTTAATTTTTTTTGGCAAATTTTTTATTTTGTTTTGTCATGACTTAAAATAAAAAAAATCATATTACTCTCAATTTTCACTCTTATACGATCAACCCCTATTTTTCCATCCCGATTAATATTTTTTTTATTCTATGCACTGATCCGCAATAAGGTTGCAAGATGGCAATCAAATATTATAATTGTAGTATGATAAATTCTTATTCAGAGTTTATAATTTCAAGTTCCTTTAATTAATGTTTTTTAAATTGAATTTGATCTCCCGCCCTCGCCGGTCGACTACTGATCAACTATCAATCGATCAGCTATCCCCGCCAGGTGTCGCCAGGATGAAGACGAAGCCGGTCTCCTGTCTTACTTACTCACTATACATCATAGATTATACACTTAATATATTTGAGAGCTATACAATACTATACATTTTTCAGCTATGTTTTTTTGGTTTTAATTGTGTATCAATAGTATGTTCAGTAGGTCTGAGAATCGGCTACTATCTATTTTTCATACCCCTAAGTGAAAAGGGTTGTCCACCCCAAACATTTATTTTTTATTTTAATTTTTTGGATATTTTTGTTTATAATGTGGTATTATGTGGTTAAATGAGGTTTTTTTTTCTACAGTATAATTTCCCTAGAAATCTTATTTAAGGCAACACAACGTTTGCCGGGTCAGCTAGTAGAAGTATAAAATACAATCATAATAGTGTACAAACTTACAATTCCAATTAATTATAGTCGAATTTCGACTACTGCGGGACCACTAGTATATTTTAAAACAATACGACATCGATTCTCTTATGATATTTGTCAAGTATTAAGGACAAATTCATGTTTCACTAAATTATATAAACATGACAAAGTAGCTCGTTTGTAAACGCCATTCCGTATTCAATATCTCCGCGGATGATTCATTTGACGTGAACATCTTTGATGTAAAAGCTTTTCGATGATATGTCATATATTTTGTTTGTGTATTTAAGAGAGACTTTTTCTATATGTTGTTTTTTTTCTTCACATTCGTTCGATGAGTGTTTCGTGTTTATTCAGACGTGTACACTGTTAAAAAGATTTCGATTGAATAAATCACTTTTTTTTTTTTAAATCATTTAATACGAACATCGAAGTTCTTTTTGTAATCATCGATAAAGCATACATTAGTTGTATAGGATCGATATTGTGAAAGTTAAAGTTTTGCGGTAGGCAGCGGCTTGACTCTGCCCCTAGGATTGCTGAAGTCCATGGGCGACGGTAACCACTCACCATCAGGTGGGCCGTATGCTCGTCTGCCTATAAGGGCAATAAAAAAAGGGTGCGTGTACTTATGTACGCGCGTAAGAAGTTATACTTTATTTTTATTAAATTTTTTCCTTTTTTTTATTTAAATTTTAATCACTGAAAAAAAATCGATTAAACAACATCCTCAAACACGCATATTGGACATCCCTTTTCTTGACATCGTATAAATTCGGTAATTCTCGGTACGGTTCGGAAAGTTCACCTGCGGCTATATTCAGACTCGCCAAGTTACGTCGGTCGTATTGTAATTTAGTGGGTAGCGATTTAGTGGGTAACTTCATTCTGTTAATTTTGTGTCACGGTACGCGCGCATCCTCAAATTTCACTCTCATCAATTTTTCATAACGCGCCTAAAGAAGTATAACTTCAAAAAGACTATGCGAAATATATTGGATTTTGATGTTCCTATAAATCTTTGCAAATAGCAAAGAAATCATAAATAAATCATCGAAAGTATTCGTGGTCTAGAGCATGAGATATTCGGCTTACTCGTTATCAAGCTATGGGTACTACATTTTCCTAAAGAAACACATACTTAAGACATGCACGGTTGATTTGAAGGAATGCCAACGGTTTTAAAACTAAAATATTTTTAAATTGGCGTTATTCTTAATAGTGAGACGTGTCGGAGGCCTGCACGGGAAAGTACCACAATCCTGTTCATCTTTGCCGCGAAGCAGTAATGCGTTACTATTTGAAGGGTGGTATAGCTGCTAAGAAATTGCGACTTCAGCTCATTTTTCAAGGTCTATAATGACATTCATGTTCTGATAAGTATGAGCTTCGGGAGCCATCACCAGGTATACTAGCTCAAATGATTGAATGAGCTCATAGCCCAATTGATGTCGCAGTTAAGGGGTTACCAATTAGCCAAGGAAACCCGTAAAACCTCGTATGAAAAATGTGATGACAAACCGTTCGGGAAATCGTACGGGGTGGTTCATTCTAGAACCGAGACTGCGTAAATTGCCTTTATTACTGTACCGCATGCCAACAACTTGGCTCGCCACTGATTTTCCCATCCTTCATACTATAAGAAATGATTACTCGATGGCCAAATTAGACAGGATGGTCGTACTAACCCATGCGGGCTTACAGTATCTAACCCGTAGACACAGCCCACTGAGTTTCTCACCGGATCTTCTCAGTGGGTCGCGATTCCGATCCGGTGGTAGATTCAGCGAAGCACTGCTCTTGCTAGGGCTAGTGCTAGCAAATTCTCTCAGGTTGAGCTTGTGAGCTCACCTACCCGTCCGCTCGTGGCTGGAATAGCCTCTTAGGCTACCGGCGAATATGTAGGAAAAACAGTTACAGTACTTCTTCTTCTTCTATATCGTTCCCTCACTACTGAGGATCGCGACCACATGCGATGTACTTCCAATGCACCCGATCATGGGTGGCATGGACTGCATGGTACAGACTACCACCGAGTGCTTCTCTTGCCAGATCTGACCATCTGGCTGGTGTTCTGCCCACGGCGCGCTTGCCTTCCATTCAACCCGTAATTATGAGCTTCTCTAATTCATGTCTGGGAGACCGCATGATGTGTCCGAAGAAGCTCATAACAATGAGTTACAGTACGCTACCATTCAAACTATTAGTTTTCATTTGTAATGTTTACGTTGCGTATTTGTGCAGCGTGGACTATAGAATTTCCATATTCACTCGTGTTACCTATTTGATTTTCGTATAAACTAGATGATGACTCGGTTTTTTTTTGATAACGCCATCTTGTTGTGTCTTTAAAGCGGTTAGTTGCCCTCAATTAAGAAAAATAGTATAATATTATTATTCGCCAATAGATGTCGGGAAGAGTTGATTATTGAAAACACGAATAAAACAACATTTTCTGAAAATGAATCGTAGCTAGATCGATTTATCGCCCCCGAAATCCCCTGTATACTAAATTTTATGAAAATCGTTGGAGCCGTTTCCGAGATTCAGATTATGTATATACAAGAATTGCTCGTTTAAAGGTATATAAGATATATAATAAAATAAAGCGCTTTTGATCTTGCTATATAGCTATGCACTAACCGTAATTAAACAGCTTTCACATTAATTTATTAACACTAAGATTTTTATTTCATAAACTTCATTATTATAACTCAACACTCAAATTAATTAACTGTACAAATTTTGATTACGATCTTGAACAAAAAATTAAAAGATTTGTTTTAAATTTCTAAGTCGCTAGATTTTCTTTTGAAAAGACCGGTAATCGAATTCACGGCCCACTTAGTGTTGAGTGGTTACCAGAATCCTGATATATCACAAGGCGAATGCCTCTAACCACTGATAGATGAGCTAGATACATCTTAATTGTAATAACATTTGTTCAGTATAATTATCATAGTTATCACATTTTTGAAACTTATTTACTAGGTAATCACGCTTTTAAATTCATAGCATAGGTACTGTATTCAAGAAATTAGAATATTAAGAAGTAATAGTTATCTAAACACATGATGAACAAGATTATTAAAAGAACTTTCACTAAATTTCACCATTAATCTTCTAGGGTGCTAGAGGCGTGGTAATGATATTATTTAAAATCTTTTACTATTAAAACTATCGTTTATTGCTTCTTTTTTACGATGTCCAACTATAGTGTTTTAGTGACCACGGACCGCGAGATAACCAGTTGTCCAAAATCACGAAAATCACGTTCGAAACGTTTTTGAAAAGCCGCAAAAATAGAAGAAGGACATGAACACAATGGGACGTACCTAAGCGATGGTCCTTTCAAACGAACGGTCTAGCGCGTTTCAATCGACTCACTTTTATTATTTACGAGCTTCTACCGGCGACTTCACTCCCGTTAATTTTTTTTTTGCTGGCCTAAAGGTACTCTGTCCTTTTCTGCACTCCCGGCAAAGTTTATGTAAAATATCACGACCATCGGTTCATTAGGTAAGACGTGAAAGCGTACAGACTCCATTTTGGCATTTAAAATATTAAAAAAGGTTTTGTCGAACATTTAATTTGCACCTGTTCTCGTTTTTCTCGAGAAAATGATTATAAAGTTACCGGAATAACGTTGGCTTTCACTTTAATAAGATTATTTTATGATGTTAATGTCTTCAAGCTCACGCCTCAATAGAAACTGGGGTAGCGACTGAGCGGCTACTTCCGAAGAAATGCACAAACATTTAGTGTGTCGCGCTCTTGTCATACAGAATAATGTTTTTTAGATTTTATTTTATTTTAGTTATTACGATTAATTCTTCTTTGTGACCTCCGAATTCTATTATTTTTTTATAATGTGCTTTTTTTAACCGCCGTATAAAGATTTGTTAAAGTATTTCGGTAAAAGTAGGTATCTTCTAGCAACCCATGGGAAACACTTAAAAAATCACTTAAATTAAAAATGTATGTTAGTATATATTAGCACAATTTTTCTGTAGACCACATTTAGACGCGAGCAATCGAAGTTGTCACATAGTACGCGGCTAGAAACAAGTTTTGTTGTTAATACATTGACGTATGCACATTACGCTAAGCTGCACAGGGGCTGCGTAGGAAATGCTTGTCGAAAATAAGATTACGTTTTTTACCTGAAATTTGATCGATTGGTGAGTATAGGGGGGGCTCGTCCCCTCCTGTTTGCTGATGTTCGAGCAGGCGATGACACGACTGTCTCATGAGCGCTCCAGACACTGCGTAAAAAATTTCAGATTAATAATACAGTTGCAAAATTGAGAGTAAGAACTTTTTTTTAATTTTTTTTTATTGCTGGATGGGTGGACGATCTCACAGCCCACCTGGTGTTAAGTGGTTACTGGAGCCCATAGACATCTACAACGTAAATGCGCCACCCACCTTGGGATATAAATTCTAAGGTCTCAGTATAGTTACAACGGCTGCCCCGCCCTTCAAGCCGAAACGCATTACTGCTTCACGGCAGAAACAGGCAGGGTGGTGGTACCTGTGCGGACTCACAAGAGGTCCTACCACCAGTTAAGTTATTGCTATGAGTGGCAGATTGCATCGTGATCGGCAAGACAAACGGACAGCTCTTTTAACTAGGAAGCAGGACTGCTTGGCCGCACAAATTGTTACCGAGCTCACCATGCGTCCTACCACCGGAAACAGTCATAATATGTGGGTATAAAACTCAGAGAACGTTTCTGCTTAGGCCCCAGCGAATCCCTTAGTCGCATTTACGACCCCTTCGCAAACAGATGAGGTGGCGATTGGAAAATAGGTTTCTGAGTATACCAACAGCTAAATCTGGAATCTCGAGTTTGGTTTACGTATGCACCAATCATTCGTGTAAAATGTTAATGGCGCTCATTTCCGTAATAGTTTAACAGTCTCTACCAAATACATCTTATCTATCTCCTACTTCTCTACGGATTTCCTCCGGATCCTGATAGGTAGCGATCGATTACGTCTATTTAAATTTACATGCATACGGAAACTTCGTTACCAAAGGTTGCGCGTTACCCGTAAATTTTACATGTACCTATTTACATCATTTAGTTTAGGAACGAGTGAAGAATATTACCAGTCGGTCCGCCCCAGGCCCGCCGCTGTAGGTACCGATGTGTCACGAATGAAAATTAATAGCTACTCTTACTGACTGTTACTAGGGTTCTTATATTACGACTGGACATATTACCAGAATGAATTGGTAGCATATTTTCAAGTTTACGGTCGTAATTTGCGCTCCGAACTTTCGAAGTGGCTTTATTTTAATTTAGTTCTATGTGTGTTTTAGGGCGGCTCTCAATGTTTTTCTTTTTCTTTCGAATGTGTAGTTGTTGTGCGTGTATGTGTTTTGAGTAAAATGTTTGTGTATTCTAAACATGCGTGTGAGCTATGAGCATTCGGGGCCTCAAGTTAAATATCGTTTGGAGAAAATGCGGGTATTCATACAAACTGCGCCTGCATCAATTAGGTAGGCAATTTTATTATAAATTTAATCATAGCTTTTTGGCCTAATTCTAAATAAACAGTATATGCTTGTAATAGTCAATTCTTTCTGGACGGCTTGATAACCTAATTGGTTAGCAGTCAATGCAATGAAGAATTTGACTTCATGTGACAAGATGAGCTCTGGTAATAACCGCAGCAACTTCACGTGAAGAACTAGAAAATTTTAATTTAATTTATTTTTATTGCATAGATGGGTGGACGAGCTCACAGTCCGCCTGGTGTTAAGTGACATAGACATCTACAACGTAAATGCCGCCACCCACTATATGAGTTCTAAGGTCTCAGTTTAGTTACAAATATTGCCCCACCCTTCAAACCGAAACGCATTACTGCTTCACGGCTGAAATAGACAGGGTGATGGTACCTACCCGTGCAGACACACCAGAGGTCCTACCACCAGTAAATTTCTAATTCCTTTGCTTACACTCTAACTACAGTGTTTAAAGAAATGTACATATTTAAATCGTGTGACGCGATTACCGTACTAGCTAGTTTTTTAAATAGTTCGAACACTAAAATTAATTTTCGGATAGCGTGCGTTTTATCATTAAGTCGAAAACAGGAAAAAAAAACTTGTAAAGTGACAACTTGTTTGTTCAATAATATTGAAATTACACTCGAACGTAAGCAATCTAATTGTTAGATAATGACTTACGGACCTGTAATGAAGTCAAACTTTTGATAAGTGAAGGTTGAGTAAGTGTTTTGTTTGTATAATTCACATTAATGTGTTTTGTATTGGTTTTTTTTTTTTCATTGCCGAGTTCAGTATACTTTATTGAGTGTGTGTGTGGCTTTTATGATGTTGTATTTTTATTTTGAAGTTTCCGGCGCCTATGTGTATGACAATACATCTTTAAAAGGTTTTCGCGTACTATACTACTACTACTGGTCGTAGGACCACTTGTGAGTCCGCACGGATAGGTACCACCACCCTGCTTATTTCAGCCCTGAAGCAGTAATGCGTTTCGGTTTGAAAGGTGGGGCAGCCGTTGTAAATATACTGAGACCTTAGAACTCATATCTCAAGGTGGATGGCGGAATATACGTTATAGATGTCTATGGGCTCCAGTAACCGCTTAAGACCAGGTGGGCTGTGAGCTCGTAAACCTATCAATGCAATAAATAAATAAAACAACTTCCTCGAAGAAGGATTTCGTGTAATAAAAATCGAACACAAAAGTGCATAAATTCCGAATAACCGTCTTGTCGTAAGGGTATCTTGGGACATGCAGGCAATTTCCGACTATTTCAGTTGCGAAGCAGCGATGTTTATAAGGCCGGAAACTATTATTAAAACATTGAATTGAAATCGAGTTGTGTCGACTAGAATAGGAGGGAAGGGGGACTCTCTTGTGGGTGTGTGAGGGATATACCACCTTTCTGTAGGTGTTTAAGGGATGCACTAAAAATAGAGCAGCGTTCTCTGAGTATTAAATCATACTGCGATCGCCAACCGGTACTTAGTGGTGGCAAAGCTTGTTGAAAGTCAAACAGATAGGTTCCACCATCCTGCCAATTTTTGCGTTGAAGCAAATAATTGCTTGAGCATGAGCAAGTATGCAAGTATACAAGTTTGGACATATGTTATAAACACAAGAGACCCCATCTCATATTTACGTTGTAGATGTCTATGGGCTCCAGTAACCACTTAACACCAGGTGGGCTGTGAGCTCGCCCACCCATCTAAGCAATAAAAAAAAAATGTTTCAAGGTAGATGTTAGGTTTAAGCTCTGTTGCCTATCAGTTTAGATAGCCGATTAATAGTTGACCGGCCGTGATCTATCCAATGATGTATTTAAAAGTGAACGATGGATTTTAAGCGTGCATGGCCTACCTTTATTCTAGTTGTCATTTGACCACGTCCGACGGCTGTCTACCCGACGACATTCTGCCTGTAACAAACGATACGAACATTATTGAATAAATCGTGTATAATTTAAATTCATTAAATCTATATATTAATACGTGAAGCAAAAAAATTGTACTCCGTTTTACGAAAAATGCGCGGACGACGGAGTATAAAATTTCCCACACTTATAGAGAACACAGAGGAGTGCAGAATGTTAATTTTTTTTTTAATTATGCCTAAAAAGTACATTAAATCAGTAAATAAAACATTACACACACTACCATGTATTTGACACAACACATATACTCTTTATTATTTTTTAAAGTCTGTGGTCAAATTGAGAATAGATTAATATTGTTTGTCTTTAATATTTGTCTATAGTGTAGTTTAGGCAAATATGTGATTAGATAGATATGTATAGGTAGAAGAATAGTTTTTGACAATAGAACTATAATAATGTTTGAACTTATAATTTCAATTAATTATAGTCGAATTTCGACTACTGAGGGACCACTAGTCTACTTAAATGTTCAAAGTCTTTGTACAACTGATGCGATTTTTTCATAAATTGTGAACGCTTCGTTTGCATCAATAAACTTAATGCACGGCGATGTTTCATTTACACGTGAAAGGGTAAAATTCGCTCCCGGCGTACGGATCCATTTATAGTCATTTTAGCCTTTTGCTTCAGGTCTATAAATAAATTTAAAATATAAAAAACATGTATATAAATCGGTAAAATTGTCTTAAAAACAGTCCGCGTACATTTATATATAGTAAGCACCTGATCAGATCCAGATATATTTATGAATATTAAATTTGAAAATTTGTAATAACTGAGATCCGACAATGCCTGTACAATGGCATAATGTCGTGAGATAGATAATTTAGAGAGGTGAAAAACTATTTGGCTTAAGCGACGTTTTTGCAACTTTACAGGAAAACCTTTAGAAGTGTAAAATTTGCAAATTATCATAACAAAAATACTTATTCAGCTATATGAATGCAGTGAGTAATTGAAGTTAAATTAAACACATCGAACTGTTGATGCTAATACCAAATAAAACGCACCTTTATTTATATCGATAAATATCGCGTATTAAACCAAATAGCCTTTCACCCCCTGGATTTGTAATGATCCTTTGACGGCTTTGTTAATGAAAATATAAAAAAATGCCCACTGAGTTTCTTGCCGGATCTTCTCAGTGGGTCGCGTTTTGGATCGGGCGGTAGATTCTGTGAAGCACGGCTCTGGTAAAAACGTGTGCGATGGTAAAAACGATAATAATACGATGGTATCATCTCTTTGTCTTTATGTCTCCACAGGAGAAAATCGCCGGATCCCCACCCGCGCGGCAGGTGGGGTATGTGGGAGTTGAACCTCACTAAAAACTCCTGCCGCACACAACCGGCGCCCTACCTCGGACCGGGCCGGAGCCCAGTCGGGGCTATTGAAACGGCGGGACAGGGTTGACGCAGAGCACATTACATCCATCCCACCGTCCCACGGACGCCGGACCGGTGGCCGCCAGCGAAACGACCACCGGTTCCCTCGTTCAGCGGGCCGAGAGCCCGCTTTGATGGCGCCGCGTTACACCTTCCCCCAGAGCGGTCGGGGGAACGTGGTCTGCCATCACTCCGCTTCCTTATTGTCGGGTGAGTCGTGCAAAGCAACTGCCACCCACCACGCTGGGTCTCTCCCCGCACAAAACGGGTGGGACCCCTAGCTCTTAGGGGGCCAGGTCACGGATACGACGCCGGTCCCGACCCCCTGCTCGGCGGCGGCGGGTTTCTGCGTAGTGAGGAGAGCTTTTCCACACTCGCCCCGCCGCCTCCTCCTTCTGCGAGATGGTGCACTCGCAGAAGTCGAGCATAGCCTTCCATGACTCATCGCTGCCAAGCATCGACGCCACGACGCCCGGCAGCGACAAGTCAGGTCCTATCTTTGCGACCAGGACACGGCGCTGCACCTCCCAAGTGGGGCAGACAGCGAGCGTATGCTCCGCCGTGTCCAGGTCGTGTCCACAATGGTGACACCTCGTCGTCGGCTCAGCCCCTATCCGGCGCAGGTACTTCCCGAAGCATCCGTGCCCGGTCAGCACCTGCACCAGACGAAAGGTGAGACGTCCCTCGCCACGATTCACCCAGTCATCAAAGACCGGGTAAACCGCCTCGACGGTCCGTAGCCCCCACGTGGGGTTGGCCAATCGCCTCGACCACGACTCGAGCACGGACCGCCGAGAATGGGCCTTCCGCGCCCGCAGCTCACTCTCGGGGACACGCGCCACGCCCCGAGCACGAAGCTCGCTGCGCCACCGATAGTCGGCAGCGAGCGACTCCGCCTCCAGCTCCCATGGCGGCGTCCCCGCCAAAACACACGCCGCCTCGAAGGAGACGGTGCGATATCCGCGGATGACCCTGATGGCAACGGTGCGCTGCGGCCGGCGCAGAAACCGAGCCATAGTGGCCCGGTTGCGCGGCTCAGCCCACACAGGTGCACCGTACAGGGCCATCGATCGCACCACCCCCGCGTAGAGGCGGCGCACAACCTGATCCGGTCCCCCAATATTCGGGAGCAGCCGGCTCAAAGAACCGGCCGTCCTCATCAATCGGGGGACCAGCTCCGCAAAGTGAGCACGAAAAGCCCACCGGCTGTCCAACACGAGGCCGAGGTACTTCAACTGCACCCCGACCCCTATCCGGACGCCTCCAACCACGATGGTTGCTTGTTGGCAAGAAAAAACGATAGGGAGATTTCAATACGGCTTCTGACTTCAAACGTTAATAACAATGAAGCATTTGTTGACTTGTATGAAGTCGCGTATAAATTTTAGTTTTCTTGTCATGTCAAGATTAGTCATCATCTAGTACAAAACGTCTGGTAAACAATATACCTAGAAAATATTTGTCACCGATCGCTATAAACCCTGTCTAGCCCTGTACACTGTCGATCTTAATGCTCTTGTTCGGATCTTGTATGTTGCAAGGTTATCTTGAAAATATCGAGAGCGCGTTTCAGGTTGTTGTTGAATATCTTCCATTTTATGATAGCTACTGCTACAACTGAAGTTCCGGGTTCCGAGAGGGCTTAAATTTAAATTACATTTATCCTGTACTTTACTTTACCTGTACTTGTGTGATATGTATTTACGGTACCCATGACAGGAAAAAATGTAAGGGTCCCGTAATTAAAAAAGATTATACCTACTCCCGTATCAAGGCTTGTACATTTTTACTTATTAAGGTACATGGTGCGCTGTGCTGTATAAAGTGATCCGCTCTTGTAATTTAATTGTGTATAGCGCTTGACTGCACGCCATTTAGAATTTTAAATAGACGACGAGTAATTCTCACTTTGTCCGGTAATAGACATTCATGTAAGGCCTCCGTCCCGTTTCGCATATCTGCATACACGAAAGCGCTTTACCTCGAAGCGGAGTTGAGTGGAGCCTGCTTTTTTGAGATTTTACTTAAAAATGCGCGATGAATATATTTTTTGAAGATTGCGGTAATGGTGCTACGTCTAGTCTACACGGGCTTTTCGCCGATATTCTAATGCGCGCTTGATGCTATCTTGAGAAAAAAAAATGTTTTGAGGTCATGTATTAATATAAATTTTTTTTCATATAATTTTATGCACATCGTTATGTAGATTCGCTTTTACAAGAGGACGTGTCGCAAGAGAAGGAGAGCAGTCGAGATTGGAATTAAAAACATGTGAGCGATATATCCAGCTCCGGACGGTACTGAACTGCCATGAAAATAGATAAAGTTGAGCCATTACAATGCCAGCACTGGCGTGGAGTTAATATATCGGTCATACGTCGAGAATGGCGGGTTAAAGATTATGTTGAGTCTAAGCCGGGCCACTATCACTATTTCCCCGAGTCCGGGCTATGTAGCACGTGTACATATTTCATTTACAGCAGCGCCGTACGATAAGTTGCTTTGAGCCTCTCGGGTACTTTGACTTTGGAATGAAGCGAGAACGTGTTCACTGTATTGTATTGTGTATGCGCATTAATGTGATTAAAGAGATTTATGGTTTAATCTCGCTAAAAGAAACCCATTTTTACTAACGTATGACGTAATAAGTATGAAATGAAACAACGAGAAAGGTTTTTAATTGTTTTCAACTCACGAAGACCTCGGGGAATGTTCGGTGATTGAAAAAGTTCGTGCTCGATTTGACCAACAATAAAAGTAGCATCTTTCTGAAAAATGTTATTTATGACTTAATAATGTAATCGAACATTTACCAATGACTGTTTCTCCCATTGAAAAGTTTTGTATTACTTTTTAAGAGAACTATGTATTTGGTGCGTCTTCATTTGAATTCTCAAGGTACCTTATAATATCTTATGTTAAATTATTTTTTCGCTCTTTAAATTATTCTCTTTAGATAATGAAACTGGAAGGTAACAGATTTATTGAGAGAGAGTAAGCTGCTGATGGGTTTTCCATTTTAAATCTATTTTGTTGTGTCTGATTTGCTACTTAGCGTTGTTACGAGGTTAGAGCGCCAAGTGATTACTAGTGATTTGGCTGTACGTCTGGCCTTGGTGATGTCTATTAGCGACGGTGATTATTCTCTACCAGGCGGGCCGTACCTTCGTCTGCCTCCGAAGGCGTAAGAAAGGTTCCATTCTCGGCCAATTTTGGTCGTTTCGCTTCGATTTTATGCGTTTCGGTTTGAAGGGTGGGGCAGCCGTTGTAACTATACTTGAGACCTTAGAACTTATATCTCATGGTGGGTGGCGCATTTACGTTGTAGATATCTATGGGCTCCGGTAATCACTTAACACCAGGTGGGCCGTGAGCTCGTCCACCCATCTAAGCATAAAAAAAAAAAACATTGAATCTATTGGTTCGAATGACGGCTCTACTCCGCCGTTATTATTTGTTCGGACAATAAAGCTCACTAAAAATCATTTCTCTGAAAATCCTACGGAGCCTATACGTTGATTGTTAAATTGTATATAAGTTGCTTTAAACGGCGAAATGCTCTCAAACCATCGACATTCAGTGCCTCCGCAATCTGCGCTGTAGTAATCCAACGGATTATTCCTCTCTGAATCATGGACAAAGTCATTATCGGTGCCAGAAAATCGCTCAGGGCGAGGTTGGTCGTTCAAATTGTAGTCACCGCTTCGAAATCCGCTTAACTATATAACAATCCTCTTTAGAACGGGAACACAATTCAAATAAACGTATTGAATATTCTCTTTTGCAGTACTAATGTAAACAAATAACATAAGAAGACTAAAATGTAACTTTTATAAACTTTTGATACTGATTCATTACAATGAACCTAAATTATGTTGTTACGAGTATACGCAATATACCTACACGAAACCAAAAAAGTTGACGAAATTTGTGACAACTATTCGTGAAGAACTGCCGGTTGTATGTATTTTAATATATATATCGAAACAAAAATTAAGTACACACCAATGTCAAATATATCAAAAGTTTTTACGTGCTGTTAGAAGTGAAATGGCCGAACTCATTTAAAAAAAAAAGAGTTATTTAATACTACGAAACAATTTTGATGAATGAACTGGAAATAGTGATGAAAATCGGTAAACTTTGCATTTCGATGAATTTGACCCGAACTAAGACTAATATGTTCTTATGAAGCCATCATAAGATGTTTTATGATGAGTAGGTGTTTTATAAGCATTTATCTATACGGGCTAGGGATGTAACAGTAGGAATTGTAGAATTACCTAAAACTAAAGATTTATTTTAAACTAGAAAGCAAGCAAGATACACATGAATTATTTTTTATTGCATAACGGATCGACCAGTGTTATGTAGTTACCGGAACCCATAGATAAAAACCCGAAGCGTAAACTTTTTAAAAAGTGAATGCCCTTATAGAATATTATAGGCGAGTTTTATTTAACAAACATGAACTCGTAATATGTATGTACGAAGGTTATATTTTCGGTTACATATAGGTAATCGCCCTTTGATAAGTCAGAGTTGTGACGTCGGAATTAAGTAACGATTAAGCTCTCATAATGTGAACAAAGTGTGAATTGAAACTTATCTATGCCTATTTGGTAAATCATTAAGATATAAGTCATTAGGACTTCAATTGTTATGTACAAACCAAAACTAATCACAATTAATTTTACTACTGACAAGATTATTTCAGTTCAATGGACACTGATGTGACAGCTTTTTTAATTTTGACATTAACATTCAACACAGTTGAAATAAGACTTGAATATAACTAAAACATTTTCTACTTTAAATTGAATGAAATATATGTAAATAATCCGTTAAGATTGAAGTCAATGTACTCCGAAAAGGCAGGGCCGATCAAGGTTCTTCAGGAAACCTTCAGATTTGCCTAGCGGGTGGGTGCTCCTGTGAACTTTGATAACGATACGGTCAAAGTCAAGTCAAGTTTTGACTAATTTTAAACAAAAAGCATTTAATATGTACCTAGTTGAATCCATTGTGAAAAAAAGGCCATTGGAAGTCTATAATTTTAACGGTCTCTTCACATAAGAATGACAGCGTCATTATCCTCTCCGCGAAACATGCGGCGAATCTCGGCGCAAATTGCTTTGGATTCATTTGTAGCAAGCTCCCTAAGTTTTTAAGTTAACTTAATTGCGACTCCTTTGACGATGTCTATGTAAAAAAGTAATTAGGAGTAGGTACGATAAGGCAGTTCCAGAGTCCGTCTTTGCGCGCAAATCTCAAATCGGCTTTAAGAGTTCTTGGCAGTAATGGCTGCTAAAATTATTATTTTATTTTTTATAGCTTTGATGTGTGGACGAGTTCAAGGCCCACCTGGTGTTAAATGGTTACCGGAGCCCGTAGACATCTACAACGTAAATGCCGCCACCCACCTTGAGACATGAGTTGTAAGGTCTCAGTTTTGTGAGTGCAACGACAAATTTTTGGACTCAAAATGTTTAGTTTTCAAAGTTAGGGCGTATTGCAAGTCCGTCTATTTCTGATAAAATGCAGTCACGTGTTCCGCTTTGAATGGTACCTACGCTGAGTATTTTACTATACAATTTTCTATTCTTTTTTTTATTGCATAGATGGACGGACGAGCTCACAGCACACCTGGTGTTAAGTGGTTACTGGACCCCATAGACGTCTACAACGTAAATGCGCCACCCACCTTGAGATATAGGTTCTAAGGTCTCAATTATAGTTACAACGGCTGCCCCACCCTTCGCACCGAAACGCGTTACTGCTTCACGGCAGAAATAGGCACGGTGGTGGTACCTACCCGTGCGGACTCACAAGATGTCCTACATCTCGTGCGAGAGTAGCGAGTACAATACGAATTACAGCTAATAAATATGTTAAGCATATAATATATTTCGTTTTACGTCTGAGCGCGCCGTCAGCGGAGATAACGTACCCTGCGAGGAATCAGGTGAAATTAGGTCGTTCTCTTATCTTACATATTCAACGGAGTAAACATCAATTATTTGATTTCTGCATACCCAACTCTTATTACAATAGGGATTAAGTTTATAATTAAAGTTCACTTGTAACAGTGATTTCGTGTGAAAATATCATGTGAGAAATTGATTTTGAATCATCATATTTCATTGTACGTAAATTTATTTGGTAGTTTTAAATATTGTGAGATAGTTGATAGTAGTTTCACAATATATTACACGATTTACTCACAATTTTTATGTAAAATTTATTAATAGTTTTTAAATAAACTTTTCTAGACTAGTTTATTTAGTTTTTTAAATATTAACCATTTACTTAATTTAATTTTTTTATTTTGTCAATGTTAACATTTTAATAATAGCTTTATATTTTAAAAACTAAATAAATCAGTCTAGATTAGAAACTAAAAATATTTACAAATATTAAAACCGTATTAAATATCTTACCTGTTCAACCATCAGTCAGTGACAGGAACGAAGAAGAAACTTGTATTTAATTTAAGGATTCGAAAAGTGCTTTTGAAAAAAAAAAAAATATCTCTGGAGTGTTGACGTGTATTGTACGGAACCAGTCGCGCTACCGGATCACGATCTCGCGGAATGCCCGTAGCCGCGGCCGGTACGTCTTGTCGCGTAAGGGCGGCGTTGGCGAGTGCAGGTCTGTAGGAGGAGCGTCTGATCCCGCGCATGCGTCCTTCGTTCGACTGCAACTGCAAACGTAGTACGGGCCGAACTACGAATGTCCCGTGCCGTGGTAGGGGCTATCAACCGAACGTCAGCTATTTCGACGGCCGATTTTTATCGAAGCTTTTTCCATCTGACCTTTACGATCCCTATAAAATGTCATTTATCTTTATACTTGAATAACGCTGTTATTTTATGAACGTGAGTCGTATTAGTGTTGTTAATTAAATGTCTCGCTCAAAAGCGTCATTGTGACGTCATCAGCGAGAGTCCAAAGGGTCATACTGGTATTATACTGACTTTAGGTATCTAAAATTACAAACGCTTTCCGATAGTTTACTCTTGAGTTGCCTCTTGAAATGTAAATTTTAAATCATTCGATTGTATGTTATACATGTATCCTTTTTTTTTTGTATTAAAACTGGTTCGGATTAAATAAGATATTGAAATTAAGTCAAAAGCTTACACATTTCCTGTTTCGGTTCTCAATTTCTGACCAGAAAATAGTTTTCATAAAGAAATCTCGGCTAATATACTGTCTTAACTAATACGATCACTGTCATGTCCTTTTAGCCGGGACAGCTAACTGTTTCGCGCCATAAATAGGCACGATGATAAAACCTCGTACCTACTACCAGTGAATTGTCTTTATATGCCGTTTTACATTACAATTGTGACTCCAAACTCTTGTTTCAAGAAGGGTGGTGCCACTTAACGCCACGTGGGCGTTTATAAGCACATTCACCCATCTACGCAATCATATAAAGCTATATATAAAGCTAGTTGCCATAAGTAACAGATAAAATAATGAGGTAACAAAAATAAATATGAAAATGAGTCCTAGTTTCATTGTTATTGTAATTGAACAGCTTTCGTAGAACGCCTACGAATTCGTAGAAGCGTGCAGTTAGCAGAAATTATTGCTTCACTGGAAATATTAATTGCACAAAGAAAAAAAGTAATTGAATTTTTTTTTAAATTGTAGTACGTAATTATAGCTTTACTTAACTTTGGCCTGATGGAAATAATCTAGGAACGTGTTATGGTGACATTAAAGATTTTTCAGAAACATCAATGAGAAAACAAGTCAACAACTGGTGGTAGGTCGTTTTGTGAGTCCGCACGGCTAGGTACCACCGCCCCGCCTATTTCTGCCGTGAAGCAGTAATGCGTTTCGGTTTGAAGTGTGGGGCAGCCGTTGTAACTATACTGAGACCTTAGAACTTATATCTCAAGGTGTGTGGCGCATTTACATTGTAGATGTCTATAGGCTCCAGTAACCACTTAACTCCAGGTGGGCTGTGAGCTCGTCAACACATCTAAGCAATAAAAAAAAAGTCGAGGTCTCATAAGCGCATTGAGAAATAGATTATTTTTATTCTGTCATCTTAAAACACGACATTGATCTTGAAAGTCAATCGTGAATTCGTGTCAGGTAGGTGATTACTTAGAAATATTGTATCTTTTTTCCCTACCTATTCGCTGGTATCCTAAAGGGCTATACCAGCTACGCACTGGCTGGTAAGGGCTGGTTCGCACAGTAAACCAACGGATCGGAATCGCGACCCATTGCGAAGATTGGGTGACAAACTCAGTAGGCTGTGTCTATGGGTCAGTTCTCAGTCGATCTTTTGTTTCTCGTCGTAATCGACGAGTTCGACGAGACGGTGACCGGTCCTAGGAAAGCCTAAAAGCACCGAGAGCAGATCCGGGGGTTCCGCCAAACATGCTTAGGGCGATTTTGGTTGCCCCGTGTCGCGCCTCTTTATCAAAGTAGTGTTCTGACGCTTCCTTAACACTGTTCTCCGATGGCGTCCTGCAGAAGCGGGATTGGATAATCTGAATGAGTAATAGGTAAGCGGGCCGCGTGAACACTTTACTTGCAGGTAATGACCGATTTTGTTATCTTCTTTTAGAATATGAACCTCCGCAGAGTAGTTAGTTATACTTGATACGAACTCTCCTCGCGTCCGACCGAATATGACATCGCCTTTAAAAAAAAATGAATGTAGTTATTGTTCAGCGTTGCAAAACTTTATTACCAATAACAAAGGTAAATCGCATTCGTTACACCCAGTGCCGATGGCCTATTGGTCATAATAAAACATTCGTGTTCGCAAATGTCCGGCACATCTGTTCAAAGGAGGGGCGCGTGTTAGCTTCGTTTGTTACTGCCGAAAAATTTGTAAAATTTTGTGAACGAAGTACAATGTGCTCCCGAATATAATCCTTCAATAACGAGCTGCGGCTGTTCGACTAATAGCTTGTGGCGGCACTTTAAAATTACGGTGGCTTATGAAAACATGGGTCAATTAATAATGGTTTTGTAAGATGTTAAATATATTTGCGAGCGTGAATACCATTAATGGATCGGGTTACGCGATTTTCGAGTTCAATTTAACAACAGGACGCAAGTGTTAGAGGGACCTGAGAAGAAAAGAGTTTTCTCGAAAACTCTAACAAAAGAGAATTAATTTCCTTTCGTTAACGGTACGTCACGTTGCAAATTTGTTCGAATCTATTAGTCAAATACCAATTTTTCTAATGAAATACGTACTCAACAAATGTTCACGATTGACTTCCACGGTGAAGGAATAATATCGTGTAATAAAAATCAAACCCGCAAAATTATAATTGGGGTAATTACTGGTGGTAGGACCTCTTGTGAGTTCGCACGGGTAGCTCCCACCACCCTGCCTATTTCTGCCGTGAAGCAGCAATGCGTTTGGGTTTGAAGGGTGGGGCAGCCGTCGTACTGTAATACTGAGACTTAGAACTCATGTCTCAAGGTTGATAACGGCACTTACTTTGTTGATGTCTATAGGCTTAGACTTAAAACTATGTGGGCCGTGAGCTCGTTCATATCACCCATGTAAGCAATAAAAAATGCCCTAAAATAAGTTTTTCGTTTCCGAAACTAAGGGTACGTTTCAGTCCACGTGTTGGCTGATGTTCTTTTTTGTATCAAGCTGACCGCAAATACAGCTGATCAACAAAAACAAAACAAAAGTCAATTTAGAAATAGAGACGTTATTGGAATTTTAATAGTTTAGGGTAGATAGAGATCGTAAGCGGAAATGACGTTACTGATGAAAAGCAAAGAAACAGTGCATCTCAATCTTTTAATTTATTTTTAAACACTCAAATAAAAATCATTTTCGATTATTGACATGTTCGGAAAATTTCGGTAACTAACTAGATTTGTTTTTGCGGCCAACGGTCGCATGTTCTGAGTGTGAGAGACTTTGTTAAATATAATGTAAATTTTGAAATCGTGTCTCAAGGTAGATATGATGTCAACGGATTCCTGTAACGCCTAAACAGCAGGCAGGCCTATCTAGAGCATAAAAAACCTGTTATTAATAAATTAATTATTTTCCACTAAAGCTTTTTCTTTAATAAATAAGTAATCAATCAACCAATTAATTGTGGATATTTCGGAATTCCTTTCAACAGTCCGGCTGAACGTTTACCGAATCGCATTAACACGAGTTGGTGATTTTCAGGAGTGTATTAAAAATGTGAATGATATTTGTAGTGTAATGACACTAGTAGAGGCGTTCAAGAAAAAAAATAACCATGTAATAATACAAAATGCTGTGTTTTGTCTGTACTATATTACATACTATATTCTGTATTTTATTCTGTTAAGTTCGGATCATTCATTATAATTTTTTGTTGTTTATTTGCGTGTATTGATTGAAATTCAATAACAATAATATTTTTTATATTAATAATATTTTGGTTTAGTATATTCTATTTATATTTTATTATAATTAAATCTAATTATTCTATCAGCCGTCACCTCAACATTCACTCCTCTCTCTCTCATATCGTCATTCACATACTCCATCCATGTCTTCTTCGGTCGAATTCTTCTCCCTTTACCTTTCACTACCATTTCCATATATCTCCTAGTCACATGCATAATATAATATATAGTATAATTAAATTAGTATAGTATATGATACAATATAGTATAGTTAATATAAAAAATCACACCGTTTATCATTAAAGATTCTCCAAACGAATGCGAAGCTCATTTGATATTCAAGCCACTCATGATTAATATTTGATTCAACGTTCAAACGGTCACGTTTAGAAAGTTTTAAATGGAGCAGTATATTTTTGTTTGAAGTGTCTCTGTTGTGAGAGGAAATATTTACTAGATTTCCCGGGCGATATTAAAGAAAATTGCATAAAACGAGTGCGCTTGAGGCTGTTAGACTGCAATTTCGTCTCGGACGTGAAGCTAGTATCAATCTCGTATGCGACGTCAAAAGGCTGTTCTTCAGGTTTGTTGTTTTTCTTAAAAAGTGAAAGATTCTTTCTTCTTATTTGACTAAATCATAGCATAATGTTGTAGTTCGATACAAACATAATGGATACGGTATCAGTAATGTAGGTAAGGTCAGAGAAATAACTTCATAAAACAATACTACATAGTAGTACTATCTAATACATTATACTATGCAATACTATATATTATATAGTAGTATACTATACTATGTAGTATATATAGTATTACTAAAGTTTGATATGTAGACAAAAATTTGACAAACTATGACCAAAAGATCCCAGCAGGTTCGACTCAAGTATGCACGAATAATAAAATATCAACATTTGGATTCTAAAAACATTACCATGTCTAAAATGGACCTTTTGGAAACTTAGGTGATTAATGAATGAAAAATAACAATATTAAAATATAAAAGTGTTGCGTAGAAAAATAATAAATTGTTGTCTGTGGAGACTCAATGCTTCTAACAATTACTAGCGGTTGGCTCCGGCGTCCCAAGGGTGAATCAGGATGTTCTGCTCAGAGTACAATGCGCTATTTATATATGCATTATTTTTATAACTTATCTTCTTATACTCTTTAAAACTGGTTTGATACTGAATTTCACGCTTCTTTTGTATGTGATTTGTAAAAAAGAAACCTAATTCTGTCATGA